AGCAAATGGAAGCTTGAAGATTTAAATTCAGATAAACTTTTACTCTTGTTTACTTATTGTTTACTTTGTTATATGACACTATTCAGCTATTCAGGGTGACTGTGCTATACGATACTATGAAGTGAACAATGAATATCCATTTGTACATTATATCAACACATATACGACATCAGAACCTCAGCGTGGTATTGCATTCATGCCGAAATTGGGTCTCAATTCTAATGAAAATGAAATTGCACGCATATACAAAGTAACGACAAAAGGAATTGTCGATGAATTGCAATTTTTTGTTCCGAGAAAATCTGATTTATATCAGGTTTTGTTATTTGAAATTTAGCATATGCAAATTGTGAAGAGACAGTGGAACATCTCTATATTATCGTTTATTTCACTAGAAATTCTTGACTTTGCGTTCTGTTCCTTTCTCTTTCTTATTTTTCAAAATATCGAAATGTATTTATTTAAATCTTAAATCTTTAGTGCAATTCTTTCATTAATAATATGTGTACTATGCTATTTTGTAGAGCTTTAGAATAATGTTTGCTTTATCAAATGAGGATTAAAGCACTCAATAGATGGAGATATCAATAAGAAGTTTTGAAAAACAAGTTGGCGAAAATTTAAAGTCGTATATTTCTCGTAATTTTAGGCAGATTTATATCCAGATACTCGAAGCCACGTACCAGCATTGACCGCGGAACAGTTTATTGAAGGTCAAAATGCTCCACCAAACTTGGTCCCAGTAAATCCAGATGCTGCTGTTGCTAAGCCTAAAATACAAGTAGCGAAAAAAGCCAATATCCTTGCTAATCTTCCTCCCAGGTTTTAATTTCTTTATAATTTTAAATAATTTATCTTATTGAGGATTATTTTGGATTATTTTGGATGCTACATCTAAATAGAAATTAGTGCAGAACATTCAAAATTTAAAGTAATAAGAAATGTAGTGACAAAAATATCTAGCCAGGAACTGGTTACATCACGTTCACAGGCCGAACAACGGATATCATCACATGAGGATATACGTCACAAGGAGCCAACTCCGACAGCCCATCAATCCAGACCGAGAAGCATGCTTGCTGGACCACTTGACGAAGAGACCGGTATTATCAGGATAGAACGTGGTGGTCCAGAACGTGAACAGCGACCACAAAATCCACGCAGTCCAGAACGGTCGAATACAATAATACCGCGGCAACAGGTGCTTTATCCAATAATTGCCATGGATTTGGTTGAAAATTGATCAAAAAATTTTTATTCAGGTACATTTACGATCGCATGTCGAAAGAGATGGTGCGCAGACAACACCTGGTCAGAGAAGAATAACCGCTGATTTAGAACGTATCAAACGAGCAAAAGACCGGGAGCCGGATCGAGAAGAGCTTGCTCCGCCACCACAAATGCGCAGTAATTCGGTTTCACCGAGACAGAGTGTGAGTGGACCTTCCGAGGTAAATCTTAATCTCTTTGGGTTTTGAGATTTGGATTGGTCAACGCCTGTTTGCGATATCTAGAAATCTCACCTAATCCTTGAATATGGATCTTTGTACTACAGGTGAATTAAACTACTATCATTTAGGAAAATTTTCAGTCAAGTTCAGTAGAAGACCTGCTATCGGATCTGAACAAGATCAAAGCTATCTTGCGGCAACACGAAAGAAGAATTCGCTTATTGGAGGACGAAGTAGCCGATAAAAATATGGCTGATACGTATAATTTTTAGGAAGATTAAAGATTTTTTTGCAGTGCCTATCCCAGAAGTGCGGGGTTATAACCAAAATACCCGTATTATTCAGTAGTCATTTCTATTAGACAAAAAAACCCCCAGTGAAGGGGAAAGGTGGAACTCATCGTACAACTAATGATAAATGTGGCAAGAAAGAAATATCAAATAAAGAATGGATCAGTTTGATGAATTGAATTCAGCACGAGATGTTATCATCATTTAAAAAAGATTAATTTTATTTAGTACTATTTTAGTGCCTTTCTTTCATGATTGAATTGTATTTGTAAAGCGATTCGTTTGAAACTAAATTGTGTGAACTTCGAAACGTTACGGTCAAAATAAAGATTTGAAAAAATAAATTCTCCAAACCCAATTTCGATAATTTTAACATTAAAAAATGTGATTGGAGTCATCAGAAAGCCAGTGCAGTATGCCTTCTGACAATATGGAAAGAAAAGTATTATATCACCGCGCGTAACTAAATTTTCGACATACTTAAGCGTGTCGGGCTCAGAAAGTTTGGTATCACCACTTGAAATTTTTTTTTAATGCTCAGACAGAACTGTCTACTGTATAAATTCGTTAAATTTTACATTTGCACCGAGAACAGCTCACTAGCTATTGCGCTTTGATTTTCTCGAAGTATATAAAAAGAAGAGCTCGGCATACCTATCTGAATTACTAACGCCTTCGATCTAACAGCAGAAGTTTATTCAACATCGCACAACTTTAAAATTTTTATAAATAAATTTTAACAACAAAAAGAAAAAAACTTTGCAAAGGTCACAGCAATAATTGCTGAAAAATTATTTGAAGGAACTGAACAAAGACTCTGAAGTCCACTAAGGAAAATTTTTGTTTTGAACAAAATAGAAAACAATATCAACGATTTCCTGAAAAGTATAGCGGACTGATAAATATTTTGTTTCCAACGAAATTTTTTTCAATGAATATTGCTTCGTGAATCATTCACAAGTAATTCTCTGTTGAATAACCCCGATCGGTAATATTAAAAGTTCAGCAACAAAAGATAAAGTAATTTTAGTAGGATAATGGTAATTCCATCACCATTCGCTTTCACTTTTATATGATAAGTGTTATTTTTTAAACGAAAAAAGTATCTTTACATAAGAAATATTTTTTATGATATTTCTTTGTAAGAAAAATAGGGAAGCGTTGGTATTACCAGCATATTAAAAATTTACGGATATGAATTTCTTTTGTGTCCTTTCTCCGTCCTAAATTCTAACAGTTAAGCCGAAGAACCAAAACGTCTGCTGTAACATAAATCGATAAGTGCTTTTAGTTGAGAACTTCTTGCTAATCCGAAGCACGAACACGAAAAGAAATCAACAATGAATTAATGGATTTTTACAATTTACTCGCTTTCTTCATCAGTTGATGAATCTGATGATTCTACTTCTTTTCTCTCTTTCTTTTTTGATTGCTGGAAAAATTTTGGGTCAATTGACATTATTTTTATATAGATTACCAGCATATAGCTCAATTTTCTACTGTTTTAAAAAATAGCACATTGAAATGGAGAATGGACATTAATACCTTAAGTCTCAAATTGCATGATTTTTGATTAAGGATTGTCTGATGAAGATGTGCTCTTACCGAATTATTATTTTACGCCGCGTTCAAATTAGCTTCTCTCCCCTCCTTTTACCATTTTGATGAAATTGCGAAACACAAACCTCATTTTTATAATCCTTTTTATCTTCCACTGATACTTGCATACAGTTACTCGGATTGGTGTCACTCAGATCGTAATAAGCGGAACGCCAACCAGCCGGAGTTTTCTCATTTGGTTTACCATATTTGTCGAGTAACCCTTGACTTATCTGAAAATCTCTCGAGAATGTTTAAGAATAAAATCTTTCATTTTTTATTTATAAAATCTAATCCATTCAATCTTTAAACTGAAAGGTCCATTAAAACAGATAAATGAAGAATAATAGAAAAAAGTGACCATAGCCTTTTTCTTGGATGCAATTGGACCAAGACACCATTTTCGAGCGTAAGTATCTCTTTCCATAATCACTCTTTTGATTTTTGCAACGACCCCATGATCCGTCACTGCCATAGTTGACGTGGTCATTAGTGCCAATGCTAAATCCAACTGATAAGATTTTAATTGAAGCAAAAAACACAGAAAATATCTATTATATAAACAACTACTATTGCTTTACAGATGAACTGAAAATCAGGAGGTGAAACAAACCTAAACAAATAGCTTCTCCTTTTGTTGTTACAACAACAATTTCTTCGTTCAATTCGATTCCATTTTCAAATCGAAGAATACCCGGTAGAAGTATTTTGGCACCATAGCAAATTGCATTCACCTAACAAAATGCCACGAATACAAAATCAAAAGCATCCCTCTTTCATTTCTGAGTAATTAAATAGCACTAAACAGAACATAAAAACAGTGAGATATGCTGACATGTGGAGAAAGTGAGGTTAACAAATGAATACATTGAGTGGAAAGATTTCATAATTTGCACCATTTACTCTTGCAGACCGAAACGAATCCATAAGTATGAAACAATCAAATCATTAATGAAAAACGCCTACAATGGATGAACATTTGATTCTGGTAAACTCATGGAAAAATAAAAGCTGTTTCTTTATGTGATAATAAAATAACTGAACAAAAGTACTTACAGCACTGTCTTTAACAACGATTCGTTTATGACCCACGAGGAGAGATTCAAGCGGTCGGATCACTCTTCGCAAATAACTATCGTCATTGTGATAGTCGTAAAGATATTGCGCGTCCAGAATGTCATGCATTGTCATTAAATTGTCATTTTCACCAAAAATACCTCAAAATATAACAAATATTATTGGATGATTTTATGTAAAAACGTTATCAGTTTTGTGAAATCTGAAAAAAGTACCTGAACGAACTCTTCGCAGCTCTTGCATTTGACCTCCGACGCCCAGAAGTAAGCCAAGATGCACACAGATTGTCCGCACATAGGTCCCCGCTTCACATTTCACCTTAAAGTAAAAGTCTTCAAACTAGTCTTATATTATAACTAAAACACAATTGATCGGTTAAATGATACAGATGCGAACAAAAAAACCATTGGATGGAATGGACTATAATGCATTTCAAGAATAATTACAAAAGAATGACTTAGCTTAGCTAAGACAAACCCAAAATATGCCCATATTCTGATCCGAATTATATTCAATCAGCTTGTTTTCATAAATTGTCCTGATCCTCAGCTGCCGTTTAACAGCAGATATGAGCGGTGGACGTTGAAATAGGGCGCCAGTTAACTTCTCTAAGGCCTGTTTAACTTTTTTTTCTGACTCAACAGTATTATGCAACCGAAATATCGTCACATATTCTTTTCCAGCACCTTGCTGTGATTTTGCAAGTCTAGTAGCTCGATCGATGCAAACAATCAAACAACCCGACACCTGCAAATAAATTCTGATATAAAATAAGAAGTTTGAGACCTTTCATCAATTTAGCAGATTCAAAGAAAAATTTATTTAGCTTCTTTTTTATTCATTTCATTAAAAAACATTATGCAGTTACAGATGCAAACAAGTTTGAAATCTCTGAGATTTTAACTGAATTCTCAAATATATAGGTATATTTCCTAGAGAAACGGGCTAAGTAATCGAATAATAATCCACGAAAATGTTGACTGCTCTGTAACGGTCTTTCGTACTTGAAAATTATTATTAGCAAATAATTTAGTGAATCTCAGAAATTTTTATCTAGGAAAAAAATCTAGAGAAAAAGTGTATACCTTGGGATCCAAAGTGCCACTATGCCCAGTTTTGTTAACTCGTAATATTCGCTTGACCCATGCAACCACTTCATGACTTGATGGATTAGCTGGTTTGTCCAGATTTATGCAGCCGGAAGAAACATAGTTCCTAATATCTCTTTTAAGAGGCGAACAGCCTTCCGGAAGTGGAGTATAATGATTACTCCGTACGTTCAGTTTATCGAAATTCTGAAAACTCCATCGAGAAAAGATTTTGATACCATGAACACTTTTGTGAAAGACATCAAAAAAAAATTTAATATGCTCTCAAATCTATCTCTTCGAACATTATTTATTTCATACTTCATGGGCTGTTAATACATGCTCTCTTTGCACTGAAAGCAATTGTAAGTTGAATCATTAGTCAAAAATAGTAGTAGGAATAGATGAGCCTTATGCATATATCACTCTTTTATCCTTGGAATAGATCTGCAAATAACTATTTACCTTCAACAAGAGTGGCCACTGGGAGGTGTCTAGAACAGCTGCCTTTTCAGAAGGTTTAATTGAGTAATCACCTGCAGACTGGGCTTCCTGCAACAATGCAATTGGAATAGAAAATTTCTAAGCAGACTTATAATTCATATCAGTAACTGACAAGTGCGAAAAGTAAACTTACACCCACGTCGAATTCATTATGCTTCACCGATTTCTGTTTCTTTCCCATTCCTTTTTCTAAAAATGCAACTATATTAAGTACATTCTATTACGACAATAATGTCATAAAATGAACCTAATGAGTTCCACATGTGCCAATAACAGTATCATCATGATAACAACTGTTTAACTAAAGCAAGGATTACATGCAATGATGAATCAATTAAAATATTTGGTACAAATTCAATGCTCTTCTTTTTACATCCGTTATATGAACAAATGTTGTATGGTTGTAATTCGTTGTTCCAACAACACTACCATGAGAATTGCAACCAACTTATTTGGGTTTTTAATTTCAAAATCCTCATCTATACATTATGCTTTCAAACTCTTTCAGGTATTTCTCTTCATCTCATATATATTCATTCGAAGAATCTCACACGTATCATTTACTAACCTTATGTGTAATGCTCAGCAATGGCCTCACGTGTAGTCAGCACTCACAAGCTTATAATCGCAACATCAAGTACAACTTAAACCTATACTTATAGCCTTCCACTTTTAAAGTCCCTAAGGCATCCGCCACTTCCGTCCATACAAAGTCCGAAAAATACATCTGTCCGAATGCTTTAGCCGAAGTTTACCAGTAGGCCAGGTTGGAAAACAAGTAGCCAAAATTCAAGGGTATGCAGTTAGTTGTTTCCAGTTGTGAGTTCAGGCTGTGTTTGTTGGAGTTCTCGGGGTGGGGTTCGGGAGTTCTTGGAGATAGTTATGAACGAGTGAGGAGATTTTGAGATGGTTCAGTGAGTGCTAAAATTTGCTTGGTGGAATGAAAACATGCATGATGCATAATGATAAAACATCGGGATGGAGGAGACGTGTTGTGTTTTTTTTTCTTCTGTGTAATTGACCTATTAGTCATGAATAATAGCAAGATCTTTTATTGGTCTCGTGCAGAAATTAGTGAAATTGAAATATTCTATAACCCTATTTTACATGAATGTGCCATTATAGAACTATCTTCTCTTCATTTTAACATTCTTTCCTTTGTTTTTTTTCTTTGTCCTTATTAGTTGGCAATGTAAACGCATTGTTACTTCCGTATGTTTTGACTGTTAAGTCTCTACTTCAACATTTTACAGAAATGTCATTTTTATCCATCCTCATATTGATGATGAATTATACTAGCAGGCAATTTCTCAGCATTGCTCTTATCTCACATTGTATTCAACTTAACATTGCAGTGATAGCGACAGAAGTAATGGCAACTGGTGACGATATCCCGACATTTAAGCTTGTACTTGTTGGCGATGGCGGTACTGGCAAGACGACGTTTGTTAAGAGGCATCTTACGGGAGAATTCGAGAAGAAATACGTTGGTAGGTGTTTATCCATGCACACATTAATAATTTTTTTTGGCTTAAGTGCGCCTACATTCACATGTTTGGTATTTTTTATAGCAACACTGGGTGTGGAGGTCCATCCATTAATATTTCATACGAACAGAGGTCAGATTCGATTCAATGTTTGGGATACAGCTGGGCAAGAAAAATTCGGCGGATTGCGAGATGGTTATTATATACAGGGTATGTAGTTAATCTTATTTCAATTTCTATTCTACTGGGTTCTCAGAATTTCGCGAGTCAGATTTTGATGCCGTTTAGCATACGACGACAAATTCTATTCTGAGGAATTTTATAGAAAAAAGTATGCTGACGGGATGGAAATAAGACGGTAAAGTTGGAGGCAGCTGATGGTTGATTATTATGTAGTAGTTTTACATTATTTCTGCTAAACTTCATAATATTCGAACGCGTTAAAAAGAACAAAAATCTTGTCGGTTGGAAAATTTGTCAATTATCATATTGAATGTCAACAGCTGAAGGATTAAGTTACATAAGAGAGACTTTGTGGCTAGCTTTGGAAACGTCTCTATTCTATTTTGATTATGATGAGTAAACAAATTATTTCAGGTCAGTGTGCCATTATTATGTTCGATGTAACAGCTCGTGTTACTTACAAAAATGTTCCAAACTGGCATCGTGACTTAGTGCGCGTGTGTGAAAATATCCCGATAGTTTTATGTGGGAATAAGGTAGATGTCAAAGACAGAAAAGTTAAGGCTAAGACGATCACCTTCCATCGAAAAAAGAATCTACAGGTAGTTTTGTCTTCATTTCATGATGAAAAAGGGATGAAAGGAGAATATGTCACCACCACTACACCGTACTTTAATAATGTTCTGATCTTGCGAGTCATATAGCTGTTTATTTTTTTGTCATAAAAAATGAGGTTTTAATAGATTTATGTGTTTCTTCGTTTTCAGTATTATGATATCTCGGCGAAGAGCAATTATAATTTCGAGAAACCTTTCCTCTGGCTGGCTCGGAAATTGTTAGGTGATCCAAACCTAGAATTTGTTGCAATGCCTGCGCTTGCCCCACCTGAAGTGCAGATGGATCCAACAATGGTTGCACAATATGAACAAGAAATTGCTGCCGCCGCGAACGCTGAACTTCCAGACGACGATGAAGATCTCTAATGGACTGACTGTTAAAAAGGTTCTGGGATGAAACCAGAAATATTTTGAAAGAGATGGTCATTATCATATTACTGTTGTTGCCGTGCTTTTTACGCCATTTATTGATTGATTGTTTTTGTGTTTGTTTATCCTGGTTTATTTTTGAAATTACATAAATCTGATATATCAACAACGAAATTTTGTAATTTATTTTTTGGAAATCTACGGTGATGATATTTTTCCACCAAGCTTACAATCCCTGAGCTCTGAATAAACGATAATATATGTGCGCTACTATTAACATGAGTAAGAAACACATTTCGAACATGATTTTCAAATCCACTGGTATTTTTGAAATTACACTGTCGTTGCTGTATGCAATATTCGGGGGGATATGGACATTTCAGGAGCTGGGCTTTTCCAGACAGCTATATAGACAGGTTAGGGGGAAGTCAATAAAAATGACCTAACTATAGTCGTTATGAGATCAAACGTATTACTCGGAGATTTTCTTGAATGAAGTTTTTCCGCGCATGGGCGAATTGCTATTTTGATGTGTTCTATAGTATTGTAGAGGAAAATGCAGTTACTTTGTTCATGATGCTTTTACCGCGGTAATTCTGAATTTGCCCTTATGATGGATTTTTTTGGCTTGATAATATTGTATAAGCAATGCATTTCAGATTTAAAATAATATTGAATAATGTTCGGCTCAATGATGGAATGAACTTCTGTAGACTATACTAAAGTGTTCTGAAATCTGTTTTTCACCAAAATGCTTAGTTGGAAACTACCATTAGAGAAAATAAAACTCGTAAAAGTCATAAGCCCATACATATATATATATATATTTAGTGGCAGGAAAACGTAAATAACTAATGCCCTCGATGATAATTCCATCCATTAACTCATTGTTAACAAAGTCTAGTGAACCATACTTTTTGAAACTAAGATTTCTTGGTTTCAAAGCTTATATTTAATAGCAGGTTCGTGGCCAAGTAATGAAATGAAACGAAACTGAATATACAAAACTTCTTAGTTAATACCAAGACGATATCGTACCACGTATAAAAAATTATCTGATGTTTGCGTAGTATAGTGCAACAAAAATGCTACTAGGCAACAAGTGGACAAGAATTTTGTGAAGAAAATTTGTAAAAATTTGACGAGTAAAAAATTTGATATCATCTGAACTTCACAGTTTATTTTCTACAATCTACAAATTATAAATATCCTATGTTAGGCGGATATAGGTTAATATCGTTATACATCCAAAAACAAGAAGTAAAATATTGGTTGTTCTTTTTTCGCTTAGCTCTCGCCTTCTTCGCTCCTTTTCCAACACCACAAAGGCCGGTGTTTTATATTTAGATTTCTGTTTTTCTTCCTCAATTTCCATCAAAATTTGCCATTCTCTTATCTCACGCTGTCGCTGCATCGGATCCTAAATTAATTTTACGTCAAATCATGCAATGCAATTCATACAATAATGGTAACATAAGACTTTTTTAGTGTGCATTTATCAGTTGAGCAAATTATTACTTTCTCAAAAATCTCTCATTATATCTTAAAGCATATATTTCAATATATTAAAATATAAGTTGCATTTCTATTATAATATATAACAAGAGAAATTTTAAAATTTAGATAACCTTGTAACTATAGGTAAAATAAGTTGCTGTTCGTGGACGAAAAGTATTTGTGAATTCGCGGCGACTACCAAAGTGAGCGAAAAATTCATCAGGCATTTGCCAATGATCATGTTTAGTCTGTTGTTTCCTAAAAGATGGGCATAAAGCATGATTGGATTTTCAGTCATGAAAGATAAAGTTCTGTAAATGTCACTCACCTAGTATTTACACTACGTTGAAAATCTTCGAAGGTTTTGTAATCCAATCCCAAATCCTCAAAATTCTTTTTCACTTTCATTTGCGTCGGCCAACTTCCGGTTGGTGTCTGTATCCAGCTTTCTTGGCACTTTTTATCATAAGCTTTTCGTTTTTCATCGGATGATAAAACTTCGTATGCTTCCGCTACCTGAAGTACAATAATTTGAAAATCCCCAATAAATAAAATAACGTTTAACAAATAGAGCGCAAATTGGTCAATAAAGACTAGTAGTTTGAGTAAGACCGACGCGTGGCTGCAACACTACCGGAGAAAATGGGACAAGTAAATTTGCTCACGATAATCTTAACGAGATCTGAAAGCAATTACAATTTAAATAATATAACCTGCACCTGTAGAAATTTCTCAGCAGCCAAATTTTTCTGATCTTTACTATCATGTCTATCTGGATGATAAATTTTTGACAGTTGATAATAAGCTGCTTTGATTTCTTTTATCGTAGCAGATGATTCAACACCGAGTGTTTGGTATAAATCACGATGTTCAGTGCAAGATTGTGTGGCAGGTGTGCTGTACAACCGTGTGGTATTCATAGGTATCCATAAACACTGGAATAAATCGGTGTGCAATTTCTCGTGTCGAAAAATCATCGCCGTCATTTCTTAGTCTACAAGAAAAAAAGTTGAACAGGATATTTATTCTCAATTTATACATCATTTTATAAAATCAATGGACTTGTAAACATTCAATAGACGTACAAAGAATAAACAAAAGCTGCCATTGTCACCAACTGTCTGAAGTCACTCAACGAGTACAATTAACTATTGCACCTTTTGCATTACATTCTTTAACTGTTCGATAACTAATAATTCTTCGTTTTTCTAAGATTTGTTCAGGAGATTCTACCTCTTACTGCAGATTGCACTTCTACTGTCCATATTAACAGAGAGAGAGAGGAAGAGAAAGGAGAGAGAGGTGTGTGACAGTGAATGAGTGACGAAAAAGTGATGAATTAAACCAGCTGAATTAATTCACTGAACAATCAGTCGTTAATAAACAGATAAAAGGCGTTATGAAATTTTCTTTATACTTTTCCGTCCACTTTCAGTTTCGTTTCTGAACATCGCACATACCGCTATTGATTAGACGTAACAGTTACTCGGAATATGTGCAGATAAAGTAAATGTAAATTTTTTTTACCCCCCAGAAAAACTTCGATAATATAACCGGTGTGAAAATACACATAAGCGATTGGTGTGGAAATACATAAATGATTTCTGCAAAAACAATTTCGTACACGTTTATCCAAGGCAACAAGACGGGTATCAAATAAGTATTGAGATGAATAAAATCACATAAAGCAAAGGTCTAAACAAAACTTCAGTCGAGCAAATTGCTTTGAAATTAAGATAATCAACGTGAGATCATTTCATGTAAACGTCGATGCAATCGCCATCCTCGATCCCTACTGTGTTCACAGTTTCTTGTGGATTGATACGTTTGCCATCAAAGACTAATGTAAGTTTCTTCTCATTCAACCCATTATCAACAGCGAAATCTCGTTTCAAAACTATGAATGGAGTATCCTGAAAAGGGAATACTGCCGTCTAGATTTTCCGAGTATATCAGCATGGTTCCTGCAGAGCTGAAGAATCCCTGAAGCACTGTATTTCCAAGCATTTTTTTTGTAACTAATCATCTATTTTTATAAATCAAAATCTTTTCAGTTTAATCATTTCTTTTTCGAATAATTACCCTCGGAACAGCAGTAATGATCGGTTTATTTTGTTCAGGCAGCAACCACTTGATAGTTATTTTATGAGTTCCACTTTGACTGTTCTTGTAAATTGATAAATAATTGACATCTTTTTCACTAAATGCAATACTGCGTGGAGTATCTTCTGCAGAAACTCGTCTTCCATTTCTTAGTGATAAAATTACATTTTCCGGTGAGCAAGACCAATTAGATGCATACAGTTTGATAATATTCGTGAATGATTCATTCTGAAAATCATTTATATCTCACGGGTTATGTTATACATTTCACTTATGACTGTTCAATTTCTTAGTGGTGTTTTTTTTCGTTGCTAATTATATACAAAAAAGCCAGTATCCTGGAATGAAAATGGAAATATGCAATAGGATTCAACATCTCAATCTTTACCATTCCCTCATCATTCTGAACAATAGTGGATGTTACATGTGGATACTGTTAAGAAAAAGTATATCTAATTATGTCATCCAATTGAAAATGCATGAGCTGGCATTCATAAAATCAATTCTTGAATCTAGTTTGAATTTCATATGCAACAAGTGCTTACCATTTTCCAACGTTTTATACAAGTATCACAATTCTCGAGATCACCAATTTCAATGGAGCAGTGTGGTTCCACGATAAAGACTTCATCTTTTGTAAATATGTTATCGTCCGCCTCGAGAGTACTATCGTCAATAATAATGAGACTATCAAGTGATTTAGAATCACCATCATCCGTAACTTTTCTCCTTCTGTAGTAGTTGAACAAAACAATAAAGAAAGAATAAAGCTTTTAAGATATGCTTTTTCAGAGGATATACATGAAGGTTATCAATATTGTTTGGCATTTATTGATATTTACTTCGTAGGCCTGACATTTTTTACGAAAAAAGAGTATTCTTTTGGTCATCAAACCAATTATTTTGTCTACTGCTAATTATATTTCTGCAATATATAGATAAATTATGTCTATTGCTAATTATATTTCTGTATTATATAGATATATTAGTTTGTCTATTGCTAATTATAATTCTACATTATATGGATATATTATTTTGTCTATTGATAATTATATTTCTGCATTATATGGATTTACTTATTAATATGCAACCTTTTGGTTTCATCCTTTGTCGAACTGCTTGTTGCGGGACCTAAATCAGATGAGGGAAAAGCAGAAGTATTGGAAAAAATTTCCAACTCTTTGATTTCTTTTTCAACTTCCGATAAAGCGGAATCTTCCTTTACTTTTCTTTTTCCCCCTATTGTCAGTAAATCATCGTCGTCGTCCTTCAGATCATCTACAACGAACGCACTTGAGAATAATCCAAACCTTAATAAACGACATTTACCTACTATTACTCGTTGTCACATTAAGGATTTAAAATAGCTTTCTTATCAATTAAATAAAAGTGATAAAAATGTTTACACTTGATAGGACTGCAATATCAGACGATCTGCTTTGATCAGCTTCGATTAGCAGTTGCTAATCCTACAGTTAGTAATCTCCTTTCTGTCCAAAAGTGACAAATTTAACAAATATAACTGACCTAGTGTATCCTCCTTTTTGCCTTTATCCTTCTTGGTCGGCTCTAAAATTATGAATTTTTCGAGAAAAAAACAAATCACACCGCATTCAAGAAAATTTAGGTTATTTCTTCTTCAAATACCAGTTTCTAAGGAAAAGTTTATATATATTTTATCCTTCATACCAGTTCTTCCCTGCATTATCAAACACGTTTTGTTTTTTCGTTACAAAACGTGTTTTATTCGTGTAATGAGATCTAGTGCTTGAGAAAATACGACATTATTTGAGATCCTTTATGCTCATTTGAAATTTGTCGCTAAAGCAACATAACTATTTATGAGACCTAAGATGATAGATAACTAATCTAATCACTCTAAACAAACAAAGGAAAAGCTATGCAAACATATGAAATACCTTTCTTTCTGATATCACTTGCAGTGGTCCCGGTTTCATTACCATTCTTCTTGACATTCATCACTTTAGACATAAGATGCTTTAACGGATTACCAAAGAAGTCCTCCTCATCATCATCAGTGTCATCCTCTTTCTCCCGAGACATCATCGGGACACACACTGAAATACTTCAATCAGTCACTTCACCAACTTCTTCAATTCACATCCATCCGTCATCCACCCGAAACACCCCTCCACTTCACTCCACTCCACTCCACTCGAGAAAGATACATTCATTCATTGGACATGTAATGGGACGTTTTCGTAGTTTTGTGGGATTGGATGGAAGGGAGAAGGCTTCGGGAATGGCCGTAATAAAGATTTTAGAAGAAGTGGGAAGTTTTTTTTTGCCACTCTATGAAGGTTGGACTTTTCTTCTTCAAAAGACTAGAAAGTTAGATTACTGCCGCGTTTGAGAGTATGTAATTTGCTGAGAAATGGGTGATATTGTAGGAAAAAAATGATTTTGCTTTCTAAGTTAATAATGATAGATTGTCAATTCAAAGCGTAAATGACGTGACGTAACATCAATTGTATA